CTGAAACACTTGTGTGGTTAAATTAATCCATGTAGTATATAGAGTATAATAGATACAGGAAGAGCTGTAATAAATTCTTCCTTTATTATGTCACAGTGATCATTCATTGTAAGAGTCAATGTTGCAAGAACATTAAGAGTGATTGGGGAGAAAAAAACTTCAGAAAGAGCTAAGACCAAAGTGGGCAGCTTTCGTTTTCTGAGCTCACCTTGGTCACAAATGTACTAATATGTTAGCAGTCTTGCTAGGTTAGGATATTTAAGCAGTACTTTGATATTCTGTGCTTAAAATAATTTTGCTGAGGCAGCCATCTAACAACCACAGTTCTGTTTTTGAAATTGGTACATTTTTCAGAATTTCAAGTTTTAATTAGCACTTGAAGCAAACTGACAATCTCATAATTTGAAGATACATATTTCTTTATGGTAAAATAGTGTTAAGTAATGTGGTAATTTTGCATTTATCTTTATTCATCTTTCTTCTACTTGCAAAGGAAATTATTGGTGGCATGCTGGACTTGGAACCACGGCTCTGGAGGAAAGGAATCAGACAGAACTTTGAGGAACAGAGGAAGAAGGTGTTGCAGTTTGCACAGTGGTGGAAGCCATATGACTTTACCAAAAAGAAAGAATGAGCACAGCCCTGCAGTCAAGGACTATATAAGCCATAAATTATGTTAAAGGATGCTTCATATGTTAATAACAACACCAATGTGTTATATGTAGCTAATGTATTTTAAAACAAGGGGTATTGCTTAATTGCTGATTACCTCTTCCTGGTTTGGACACTGTGGATCACATGAACCTGCAAGCCTGACAGACTGGAAGTGTACAGTGGGTTTAGTTTTTCCTTTTTTAGTTAAGCCAAAAGAATAATATTCATGTGGCCATTGAAGGTCTTGAAAATGTAGTTTTTGCTTTTGCAGTTTTTGTAATCTTTGAGACAACTGATTTTTTTTTATACTGTATTTAGCCTGTGCTTAATTATCATGGTGACTTTCTGTAGAAAATGGTGTATATTTTAAGAACATTTTTATTAATGCAAATACATTGTTGCAGAAGGAAACTGTACAAAAATTCACTTTCTGAGTCCCTGTGGTCTTTTAAGTTGAGGTCAGTGCCATAGCGTAAACATTCACAAAGGATGTGATTGATAAACCTGCTGCCTCTCCCTTGCATAAGAGTTAATGCAATTTTTTGTACTATCTTTCAATATGAAGTAGTATTTTCCAAGCAAAAGGATGATGAGACAGTCCATAGCTGATGGCAAATGACAGCTTTAATGGTAACAGTTTCTTTTGATGACAATAAAATGCGAAAAAGAAGAAGGGTGGAAGAATCTTAAGGGAAGACTTCTCGGGGCCATCAAAGAAGAAAATCATTACAGGGATCTCCTCAGGTGACTCTTCTCCCCTGGGCATCCCCTCTAGTGCCACAGGTGGTTTGCCATAATACTTTGCCATAGTAGTTTTCATCAGGACCTGCTGAAACTTCCTGCTGGTTCTTCCTGCTGTTAGTGCTGACTGGAGGTCAGAGGCAAGAGTTGCACATTAATTGATTGTTACACTTTGTGCATAGGTGTCACTGGGAAATGCCCCTCTGCTATTTAAAGGACCACTGTCCAGCATGTTACTCACTAGGTTTTGTTGTTTATTTCATATGAGAGTTACAAAATGGAGGTAGAAAAGTGGCAGGGGAAAAAGGGATGATTCTTACATCAGTGTCCACCACGTTCCATGGGAACCCTGACACAGCTGGCGCAGGCTTCACAGGTGTGGAGTTGGGAGAACAGAACAAGGACAGAAGCACATGCATGGAAACATTGCCACAACATCCTCCCAGTGCACAAGGGAAAGGGTGCAGAATTACAAACGAGAGGCTGCAGTGCTACAGGGAAAGGCTGCAAATGGCAGGTGGAAGGCTCTTGGCATAGGAGAGGTTAAGGCATTGTCTAAGTGTCTCTGTGTGTTTCCTCTTTTCCTG